ATGGGTTGGCCGTGAGTTGGGGGCCAACTTGACAGCAGCTCACCACAAAACGAGAGAGGATGTAAGGGTGCTACAGAGGTTCTTGGGGGGGGGGGGAGATGTCAGTGAAACTGAGATTATGGGAAAGTGGCGGCTGTTTGGTAAAAGACGGTGAGAGAGAGACTGTGACTGGGGAGGGAGATGCCTGGGCAGGGTCGAGGTCAAGAGCATTGAAGGAGACGAGGTCAAGGAACTGGGAAGCAAGGTGCTGGATATTGAAGCCGTAGACTCTGCCTGCATGAGTAGTCTGGCAGAAGCCAGGGCTAGAGCCTTCCACGGGTCAGTAGGCTTCACCTGGGTGACAGCAGTGGTGGTGGGTGGCCTGTCTGATGATGTGAGCTGTTGAGTCTGGAGGCACCAGTACCAGGGCCATCAATATAAGCTAAGAGTCTTGGGAATCCAGAATGGGGAGCTGTTCACCCAAAGGAAGGGGGACCAGTGGCTGTGGTCTCCATGGCTTTTTCCACCAGGGCAGGGGGGATGGACCTTGGATGCCTCTCGGGACCAAAGCAGCATTCTCTCACACTCTCGCACCCCCTGCCTGCCTTTGGTGGCAGTACGGGTATGTGGATGAGCCAGGGCACCGGATAGGAGAGGGCATCTGGGAGGAGAGAGACTGCCGAGTGACTGGGTGTCCTTTCTCTCTTCCTGGCCACCTCTGTCACCTCTCCTTGTCCCCAGACTGCAAGACTGGGATGGAGAAGGCTCGATTGTCTCATACCTACAAGATGCTGGACCAAGTTCTTGGCAAGAGGAGGTCACACAAGGCCCACACTCGTTCCAGAGAACAGTCACCACTGTCAAAGGGCTGGAGCCCGGTGGGTCTCAGGAGTATGAGCAGGTCTTGGTGTCTGCGATTGAGCACATGCGGGTAGAGCAGCCTGAGGCGGAGAGCTCCCTGGCTGACAGAGATCGGAGAGGACAAGGCCACGGAGACTGGATGCAGGAGGCTGAGAGCGCCGTCTCCTGGATGGTCGAGGTGAGAGCCTGCAGGGAGCCCCACCCGTGTCCATGCCGAAGGGGGCCTGATGTCCTAGTGCAGCCTCCCAAGTCAGGCCTCCAGCCAAGCGCCTTTCTTTCTTTCTCTAAAAAAATGCAGTGTGAACTTCACTTTCTCTAGAAATTCAGAACACTAGGTTGCAGTCTACCTCTCCACCGCCCGGAGCCCTACTGATGGGAGGAGGCTGCAGACTGTGTGGGCATTCGTCCTCCCCACAGCCCGGCGGCCAGGGGACCCTTGACCAATGCTGCTTCAGAAAGGGGGGCTGCTAATCTCACCATCACTGTTTCAGAGGCGGGCTTTGCCTCTGTCCTGTGTCCCTCCTGTTTTGAGAGGACAGACTCAGAGCCAAGAGAATTGGGTGCAGGGTTAGCCCAGCCCTCCTTAGCTGGGGGCCTTGGCACCTCGGTGTCCCCACTGGCAACATGAGGGGTGGCTGGGCAAGATTTCTCTGGCTCTGGAATTCTGTCATTCTGTGGCCATCCCAGGTCCATGCAAGTTGGATAGGCAGGCTTTGTCCTTGCTTCCCTCCTCCTTCCCATTCCTGGCTCTCTCTCCTCTCAGGCCTCCCCCCTACCCTTTGCTCCCTCTTCTCCCCAACCTCCCTCTGACTTCTCCTCCTTTTTATCGATTTCATTCGCTGTCTTCTGCCCTCCGTGCCCACGCTCAGCCCCGTGGCCCTCGCCTCTCCCAGCAGTTGTGCATTTTCCTGTTTGTCACAGAGGCGTGTGTGGTCTATGGAGTCCCATTCAGTCCTACGGAGGAAGGAGATGTGTGCTGCCACCACCCCGGCCCATTTCAGAGCGCTTTCTTCTCTTTGTCGTTAGCTCCCTCCCCTGCCTTGCCCCTAGGTAATTATCAGCCCACTTACTGTCTGGCTAGCTCTGTCTGTCCTGGATTTCACATACAGAAAATCTGACCACCCAAACAGGAAGCAAGCAAGAGGAAACCCTAAAAACAACAACGACTATACAGAACGTAGAAAAACCGGAACCAAAAAAGGAAAACAGAAAATGTTAAAAACTAACAGGGGTCAGAAAGGCTATCACATGATCCGCTGTGGATATTGTAGCCTAACGGCTCCTGCCCTATCAACGTTTACAGTGCTCTTTCTGACAGCAAGAGCCCTCAACTGGGGTCAGAGGGGACTCACCTGAGACTTAATCCAGGTGGGAACCCTGCAAATGGATTTGGAGCTTCCACTGCCATCCATGACTTTCTGCAAACTGGGTGCTCACAGTTCAAGTGCTGATACCATCCCCTCCTTGGGACTGAGATTTTAATATTGTTGTTTTTACTCTCTGTAATGCGAGATTGCAAAGAAACATAGGGACAGAGTAGCGTACCCACTTCCCCTGGGCACCTCGAGTTCCATCACTATGCCACCTCAGCTCCCCTCTCCCCCAGAATACTCTTTTGAAGCAAATCCTAGACATCTTACTAATGTGTATACCTGTGGCATTTGCTGCTTGATTCATAGGTAGCTTAACATGTATGCGAGTGAAATGTTGTGTGTCTCACTCTCTCCTGACTCTGCTCCACACTGAGATCTGTCTAGCTGCTCTGTGTCCATCTGGTCCAGCACGTCTAGCTGTGCTCCTCGCCTCTCCTCTCTGTCCTTCTGTCCCCCTCTCTCCGGCACAAACCGTCATTCCAAATGACCACCTCCGAGGTGTCCACTTAGCCCTGTGTTTGCTCTAAAATGGCCCTGGGCTGCTGGCTGTGAAGGGCTGCCCGGAATTCAATACGTTTTAATTTAGACTGCCTCCCTGCCAAGTCTGTGCACTCAGCTAGGACGGGCAGCGTGTCCAGTTTTACCCACCCCCGGCATTCTTTCGGTCAGAGGACAACAAGGCAGCAGAGGCAGAAAGCAGGGCACTCTGAGGACATCGTGGAAGGAAACCTTCCAGAGCAGCTCACCCGAATCCCCCATTTATATATTAGGAGCCAGATCCAGAACGGCCAGGAGCTTACCTCTGCCAAGGCCAGGACGGTCCAGATGCCAAGGCAGCAGTCTTGCTGCGGGAGAGTGTGTGCAGGGCACCCCCCCTGAAAAGGGAGGATGCCTTCCTGGCCTGTGACCAAGTTGGATGGCAGAGACCATGCTGTTCTCAGCAGCTATTGGACGGGCTGTGCCCAGTGGGTGAAGGTGAGGCATATCCAAAGGGATGGCTTGCAAGGCACCCATAAAACAGTGCACCCTCTCCTCACTTACCGTAACTCCCTCACTTCCCAACAGTTCACATTTGTGAGCATAGCAAATAAAATACCCACCCTCCGACGAGTTGCACATGGACAACGTACGAGGTGAGAGGTAACAGATGCGGAGGTGAGAGGCGAGGTGCACACTGGCTGTGAGAGTTCAGGTTATGTGGCTGGACCACGATTCTCCGTGACTTGGCAGTTACTTAGTGGCATGATTTGGCAGTTAGTTTAAGGTGACCAGATGCCCTGCTTGTGGCAGGACAGTCCCGCTTTTTAACAATTTGTCCCGTGTCCCGTGGCGTTTTTAAAAAGTCCCAATTTTTTGAAAGAATGTACGACAAGCTAGGGAACCGTCTATTTGGTCCCTATAGACCAAATTTTTAATCAAGAATCCTCCCTCCCCCTGGTCCATGGTGTCCCGCTTTACCAGTGTTAGAATCTGGTAAAAATCTGGTCACCTTAAGTTAGTTATCTGAGAGTGCAGGGGATTCATCCTGAAGGCCGGTGGTTTGAATCGACCAGCCGCTCTGTGGCAGAAAGCCGAGGTAGCCTGCTTCCTTAAAAATCTCCCACCTCGGAAACCCCACGGAACAATCGCACGCTTTCATTGTGGTTGCCCTGGGTGGGTTTTTGGCTGGTTGCTTCAGTCACCCTCCGTTTTGTAATCTCGTGGGCTAGCCTCCATTGTCACCTGACACAGATTTTTTGCCTAACATCCTGGAAATACGCAGCTGCCTTTCCCCTGAGTCATCGAGGACAGTGGGGTTGGGACAGAGATGGGGAGGGGCCACGTGGTCTGTGGCTAAGGAGTTCAATCAAAAACCATTATAAGCTAAAAACAGAAACGGATCTGACATGTGTTTCATGTACAGCTTGCACATCGGGCACTATTTCTGAGAGTCACAGTGAACTTCCAGAGTTCTCCTAGCACACCACGGCCCTGGGAAGGGCTGGGGAACAGTGTTCGCTTAACACACAGTTCGCCCTCACACACCGCTTTCCGTCTGAACCTGGAGGCTCTGCACATCAATCATTCTTCATAAGAACCCGATGAGAAAGCAAAGAAATGCCCTGGCAGTCCCATGGCTAAGCACGGTGGCTAGCCCAGAGGTTGGCAATTCGAGCCCACCAGCCAGTCCACTGGAGAAAGATGTGGCAGCCTTGGAAACTCTGGGGGACAGTTCTACTCTGCCTAAGGAGTGGGGATCATGCCAGTGGGTGAGATCAAGTAAAACAGGTCCCACCAATCTGACTACCAGGCTATTGTTTGACTAACAGGTGGCTTTAGGAAACCCGTCTGCTCAAGGATCACTGAGCTTCCAAAGATCACCCCAGAACAATGACCTTCACGGGTCACCCCCAACTCCATGGACCCCAGAAACCTAGCTACCAGGAGAATGAAAGCCTCCTTTCCCAGAAGGCAGGCGTAGATTGGCTCCAGCCCCGCCGAGGCCTCTGAGGGTCAGGGAGAAATGTCTGCCACACGGAGGCCCTGAGGGGCTACGAGCAGCTCCTTGGCTGATGGTCTGGGCTTTTCTGCTGGTGCTTTCTTGCTGACGTGAGCCAGTGCATGTGAGTGGTTAGAGTTGGAGTTCTGTACCCCTTACCTGTAAGAGTCATGGAAGCAAGTTGCTCAGCCTCACCCCATTGTTTAACTGATAGACCCCGCTGCCCCGTAGGGGGATTATCAGGTTGGCAGTGAGTTCCCTAACCTTGTGACAAGCCCACAGGGCAGTGCCTGCGGCTGTCAGCATTCAGGGTGAAAACAGACAGTCGCCATGGAGTCAGCACTGGCTCAAGGCCACCCCATCTGAACTGCTTCTAAGGTTTTCTTGGTTGTGGCCTGTGGTAGCAGATCGCCTGCCCTGGGGTGGTAGCCAGACGCTTAACCATGTGCGCCACCCAGAGACTCCATTAATCACGGGTGCATGCTCCAACTCAGACTCCTGACATCGAGTCATTTCTGACTCACCGTGACCTTACAGAGCAGGGTGGAACTGTCCCTGTGGACTTCCAGGAAGACCAAAAATCTTTATAAGAGTAGAGAGCCTCGTCTTTCTCCCACAGGGTGGCTGGTGGTTTCAAACTACTGCCCTTGTGGTTAGCAGCCCAGTGTGCAACCCACTGTGCTACCAGAGCCCTTTTATTCATAGCGACTGTACTCCTGAACCATGCGATCCTCACAGCAATCTTGAAAAGTAGTGGGGAGAGCACCCCAGCCCCTTTTTACGGATGAGGAAGCAGAGAAGCAGAGGCTCAGCTCTGCTAAGACGCCACAGTCGGTTAGTGGCAGGTCCGTGTGCTGAGTCTCAGACCCTCAATGTTCTTCCACTGTGCCGGATGCTCCTCAAAGAGGGACCTGCCAGCCCCAGCTGCTGCTGCATTTATGAATCAGCTCTGTGAAAGCAAGCTAATAGGCGTGCTTCCTGCGCGGGGGTGGCATTAGCCTAGCACGGGAAGAGGCTTTGAGGACAGGCCTTAAATGGACACACGAGGTACATGCCCAATGTCAGGGTTTCCGTGCCCACGAAAGGAAGAGACTGAGGGCCTGCAGGCTGATGGGAAGTTTCACCTCCAGGACTCGCCAGCCGACTTCCAGGTGGCCCAGCACCCGTGCTGGCTCCTGCTAAGTTCATTGGACCTGGACTGGGTCTGAGGAAATTGCTCCCTCATGGGGCTGATTCTGAATTCAAGCCTCCACCCTCGAGGACACCAGCTGGTCCCACCCCTAGGAACAGGGCTGAGTAGTTAGCACTCTGATCACAGCGATAATAGCCCCAAAGGAACGCAGTGCAAGCAGCCACGTCCTCGGGACTGTGTTCCTGTCCTATCTCTGGGTGAGGACATTCTCTGGAGAGGAATTCACACCCTCCTGGCAGCACTGCCCTCTGGTTCCCCATAAAGGCAGCAGGCAGGCAGGCAGGCAGGCAAGAGGAGCAGACCCTCTGGGAGCAGTCGCTGGGTGGGGTGAGGACTCCAGGGGGTGTCCCTCCCATGCTGACTGGCGTGCGATCTGGGTGCAGAGGACAGACACACCTGCTAGCTTCCATCTCGCCCCCTTGGACAGCTCCAGCAGCTGGGTTTGGGAGCTAAAATTACAGAAGCCTGACATCACCCGGGTGTGCGTGCAGGCAGTGCCGGGCTGCTGGGCAGGAGGGGCACTCCGATCTAGCTGTGGGGCCACTGGCTCTCCTGTCCTGGAAGGAAGAGCGAGAGACGACCACGGAGAGAGGGGCAGAGACAGAGAGAGCGACCTGGCTCATGGACAGGGCCTCTGGGGAGAGCGGGAGTCCCAGAGGAGAATGAGAGGGTGCCCCTCGGCTGCAGTGTGGCCCTGGAGGGCCAGGCTGGTGAGGAGGAGGTGAGGATGTGGACGTTTATCACCCAGTTCCTGGTCACGCTGGTGCTCCTAGGCTTTTTCCTGGTCAGCTGTCAGAACGTGATGCACATTGTCAAGGGCTCCCTGTGCTTTGTGCTGAAGCACATTCACCAGGAGCTGGACAAGGAGCTGGGGGAGAGCGAGGGCCCGAGTGACGACGAGGAGACCATCTCCACCAGGGTGGTCCGCCGTCGGGTCTTCTTGAAGGTAAACGCCAGGCAGGCAGGACTGGGTTGGTGGCGGGAGCGCTGTGCTGGGTGAGGGGAGAGCAGGGAAGGGGATGGCCGTCTGGAGAGAGGTCTCGCAGGATCCGGCTCTGCAGAGAGCCGAGGACCTGCCCGGAGCTGTGAGCAGCACCCAGTTGACCCCTGGCAGCATGCAAGGGTGTGGGGGTGCGGGGAGCCAGCTCTGGGCTTTAGCAGGCCTGTTCTCTACCTGCAGTGTGGGGATCGCATGTCAGTCCCATGCAAGGCAACGGTGCATACACAAGGGCTTTCTAACCTGTAAAGAGACATCAGTGTGGCTCCCCCACTCCCCACCTATTTCTTCCTGCAGGGGGTCTCCATAAATCTCCTGCCATCATCCCGGTTTTGGCCACTGCTCAAACTGTTGGGAGGATGGAGAACACAAAGCCTTTTCAAGATCCAGGCTTCGTGCTGCCGCAAGGCCCCACCAAGGCACCTCTAGGCCTCTGGGAGCCCACGAGGTGGCTGCAGCCACTTGCTAAGTAGGAGTTTCCCATCATGGTGGGGATTTGATGGACCCAGGCCATTGCTGCTATTTGACTTCCTGGCTCTCGTATTCCCAAACTGCCTCTTGTCAACCCTAGGTTTTTCTCCCTGTCTCTAATTCCAGGGTAATGAGCTTCAGAATATTCCAGGGGAGCAGGTGACCGAGGAACAATTCACGGATGAACAGGGCAACATTGTCACCAAGAAGGTGGGTGCAGAGGGTCTCCGGGAGCCGGGGGAGGCAGGTGGGCTGGCAGCACTCACAGCCCCTCACCCTGGCCCCCACAGAGGGGGCTGTTGCCGCCCCGCCCCCTTTGCTGCGCAGGAGACATGGCTCAGGTGCTGGGAGGCTGGTCTCCTGCCGTCCAGACATGGCCTTCTTGATTTTGCCTGATCTCATGGGATTAATTCCCACTAGTCAGTTCCTGGGGGAACTGCCTCCAGGGAACACCACCAGAAATACCCAGAATGCCTGGAAAACAGGGCTTCCTGCGAACAGTGTGATCAATCCAGGCTTACCACTCAAACCCCAACATGCCCACTCATCTGGATCCTGTAGGACAGGGTAGAACTGCCCCTGCGTTTCTGAGACTGCATCTCTTTACGGCAATAGAAAGCCTCTTCTTTCTCCCGCCTAGCAGCTGGTGGTTTTGAACTGCTAACTTTGCAGTTAGCAACCCAATATGAGACCAGGGCTGGTGGTGTCCCAGGGATCTCATAAAATAAAAGAATGCGCAAACTCACAGAATGTGTTGCAGATAGCCATTCGGCAGCCATGATTTGGAGTGCCGGGTACCATGCCAGATCTGAGCAGAAGGGAGACGAAGGGGCAAAGTGTGTGTCCCCTGGGATCCTGCTCACACTGTGTGGTGGCCAGTCCGTGTGTCCAGCTTGCCTCCAGCAAGCTTCCTGCATGCAGGGACCAGGCTTTGTGTATGTAGGAGCCCATAGGTGGCCTCCAGGTGAGCACAGCTTGAGTATTGGGACTGATGGCTGAGGCGTTGAATGGATTCTGGAGCATTGCTTACTGTCAATGACAAAGACGTGCTCTTGGCCTTCAGGAACTGGCAGTCCCACGGGGAAGGCACACAGCATAATCTTTCATTCACACCTCAGGGCAGAATGAACTAAGTGCTCCTGCCTATAGCAGTGGTTCTCAACCTTCCTAATGCCATGACCCTTAAATATAGTTCCTCATGTTGTGGTGACCCTCCAACCATAAAATTATTTTCGTTGCTACCTGGAGGTTTCATACCTGTAATTTTGCTACTGTTATGAATTGGGCAACCCCTGTGAAAGGGTCATTTGACCCCAAAGGGGTCGTGACCCACAGGTAGAGAACCACTGGCCTAGAGGTAGAAGTTGCATATGCCCAAACCTTGCCTCTTAAGCCTGGGAAGACCCCTCCGGCCTCTCTGAGGTTGTCCACTGTGAGTTTTTCCATAAGGTGATGGTGCAGGGGGCCTGAGTGACCACTCTTGTTAGCCCATCAAGGAAGGACCCCCTGGGATGAAGGCAGCCTCACCTGTAAATCTCATTTCCAGGGACTTGCTCTCCCGGAGCTCCATCTGGTTGGCTTGACCCACCCTTGCCCCCCGTCTCTCTCTTTCAGATTGTTCGCAAAGTCGTGCGGCAGATAGACTCATCTGGTGCCGATGACCCCCAGGTGCGCGAGGAGGTGATTGTCCACGGGCCCCCGGAGGATGCTAGTGAGCTGGAAGCTGACATTGATTTCTTAATGAAACAGGCCAAGGTACTGCGGCGGCCCTGCCTCCCGAGGGCCAGCCGGCCCCTCTGCTCCAGCTCAGCCTGGCTTCCTCCTGCGCTGTCCACAGGCTTTCTCCCTGCACCTCCTTCTCGAGCCCCCGCCCCCACTTCGCCACCACCTCCTGTGTGATCTATCCCGCTTTCTGTCTCTGCCTGCCATCTCCAGGTGGAGCTGAGAGGGAGTAGCCTGCAGCCAGACCTCATAGAGGGCAGGAAGGGGGCTCAGATAGTGAAGAGAGCCAGCCTGAAAAGGGGGAAGCAGTGATCTCCAGGCCCCTCTCCTGGGAGTAGCCTCTTTGGAGGTAACGCCAACTCTGCATGCCACTGCATGCCTGCTGCCCGGGTGGAGAGGCTGCTGCTGGGACCAGGAGCTGCATGATGCCCCTTCCTTCTTCCCCTCCCTCCCCTTCTGCCTGACTGATGGGACAAGAAACCCATACAGCTGGGGCAGGGAGTAAGAGCCTGGATTCCAGTTCTCCGGCCTCCGAAGCACGTCCCAAGCAAAGCAAGTTTCCTCACCAAAGCAAGTCAGCAACACTGACTTGACCCACCTCTCAGCAAGGCTGGAGAAACAGGCAGACTTACAGAAAGCACTGTGGTGAGGGGGAAAACCGCATGCTGTAGATCGACGTAGTGACTTGATCCCAGAAACCAAGCAGAGGGGGAGAGGACAGGGCTCTGGGCTGGATGGCCAACGCCGGTGAGACACTTCCACCTGGCAGTCAGTTCCCAGGTTGGTGTCTCTCCAACCTGGAGCCTGCCACGACTTAGAAGCTCTACGGTGGGGCTCCCTGGGATGTGGTTCCCCCTTGCTTTCTAGAAAAGGGCGAAGCTGGACAGGCCTGCAGGGTCTACGCCATTCTCCCTGCCCGCCAGGAGGGTCAGGGCCAGGCAGTTGTCAGCAGGCATGGGGTGTGTGTGTGAGCATGAGGGTCCTATGGGAGGAGCAAGGTGTGCAGTGCTTTGCCGTGAGGGGTGCGTGCAGTCGCAGCAGCACCTGCAGACCGCCCTGTGTGTGTGCTGTGTGGTGCCAGGACTCCAGCGGCCCGCTCTGGTCTCCGTCCTCCCTGAGGGATCCTGTACTGAGCTGCCCCGAGGTCCTTCTTTGAGCCCAGCTCGGGGCAGCTCAGTACAGGATGCGTCGGGGTGGGAGTCGGCAGGAAGCCAGGAAGCACCGAGGCCCCACACAGCTGACTGTGACCCTCCAAGCCCCCAGGGTCGGGCTGCACCAAGAGCAGGCCCGCCTCCTCCCGAGCCTTCCAAAGTGCTGACTCCGGGCTTCTTGTCAGATCTCAGCATTTGGGCAGAAGGAGGCCTGGCGGATCCAGTTTTAGGCTAAAATTAGACCTGGCTTCTCAGCAGCTTAAGGAGGTCACCGAGGTAACCCGGGCGCTGCCGGGCTATTGGTTCAGACGGTGGTGGTGAGCCGCAGTCTGGCCCTGGAAAGAACGCAAAGGTGCAGGTCATTTGAGAAAGCAGGGTACGCACACTCTTCCGCCTCTTTTCCCAAAGGCTCCATGGAGACAGCTCCAAAACTCAGCTCAGTGTGGCTCAGGTTCTGCCTGCAGGCATTCTTAGACTGGAGAGGGGTAGGCTGGACGACAGGCTGCAGGAGTGAGGGGAACCCCGAATTAGCATTATGGGGTTTTTGGTTTTTTTACTTTGCAATAGATGATCTTTAAAGTGGTCAACCCCCACTCCCCACTCCCACCCACTCTCCCTCCACGAAGAGGAACTGAGTCACACCAGGGTGGATTTCAGGGACACTGAGCCTGGCTCCAGGAGAGTTCAGGGGCTCCTGTCCATAGGAAGGCAGCAGGGGCAGAGGGTGGCCGGATTGCGGTGAGGGTGCAGGCATGGAGTTAGGGCTCCGACACAGACCCTAAGGGTCAGGAGGACGGGGTGAGGGGTAGCATAAAACCCTCTCCCTCCCAGTAAGAGCAAAGCCTGGAGAGGACTTGATGTTGGACCAGAAGGCTCCAAGCAGAGTCTGTTTCAGGGAGTGCAAGCTAGGGGCTTTGGGGCCTCATCTCAAGGTCTGGCTCCCTGTTTCCAGGGTTGTAAAAAAAAGTTACCAGGGAACCCTGGTGGCATAGTAGTTATGAATTGAACTGCTAACCTCAAAGTCCCCAGTTTGAAACCATGAAGCATTCCCAAGAGAGAAAGATGGGGCTTTCCACCACTGTAAGCAGTTGCCGTCTCAGAAACTCACTGGGCAATTCTACCGGGACCTAGAGAATGTCTGTCAATCTCAGGGAGGGAGTTGCATCAGACCTGTGTGTGTCCAGGAGTAGAACTGTGCTCCACAGGGGGGATGTTCCAGAAACAGTATTGCCAGAGCTTTCTTCTGAGGAGCCTCTGGTTTGGGTCAGCAGCCTGTGTTATACTGGCCTGTGTTACCCTAGACACGCGTTTCACTGTGCCCGCTTCAGGCTCCTCAAAGGAGCCTTATGATACTTACTCCTTTGGAGTGTGTGTTACTCAGTCATTAAAAAAGGCATTGAAGACAGTCCTGGTGACAGCGGCAGGGCTGCCACACAGGGGAAATACAGACAAAGCATGCCGGCCCTTGGTCGATGGCAGATCTGCTTTGTCATGTGACCCGAGGCAAGTCGATTGACCTCACCAAGCCTCAGGTTCTTTATTCACACCATAGCAATAATGCTGATGAGGTTCCCCTTGGCAGGGGGAAGGGGAGATCGTTAGTTTGTTTGGGAAGGGGCTTTCTCAGTGTCATCTGCAAACCCTCTGCATAGGAATCACTAGGGAGTTTTGTTAAAACTCTGATCCCCGGTCCAGCTTGTACAACTCTTTGGGGTTGCAGAAAGCCTCATCTTTCTCTGAAGGAGCGGCTGGTGGTTTCGAACTGCTGACCCTGTGGATAACAGCTCAGTTGGTAACCCAAGGGCAAGATCCAGCAATAGCCCTCCAGCAGTTTCCTTCAGGCAGCTCACAGTTCCTTGTGGCTCCTGGGTCTCGGTAGCATGGGGCTCCCTAGGGTGTTGATTCTTTTCATTACCACACTGATCTGATGAGATTAAAATGAAACAAAACAAAAACGCACTACCATCAAGTCAGTGCCGACTCCTCGCGACCCTGTAGGACAGGGTAGAACTGCCCCTGTGGGTTTCTGAGATTGTCACTGTTTAGGGAGTAGAAAACCTCTTCTTTCTCTTGAGGAGCGACTGGTAGCTTCGAATGGTTGACCTTGCAGTTCGCAGTCTAATTTGTGTCCATGATGCCACCAGCACTCCCAGACAGGTCCTATTCATACTCTCCGTTCCCAGGTGAGGAAACGGAGTCACAGAGGGCATAAATAACTTGACCAAAGCCCCGCAGCTGAGCCCAGATCTGAGGGTAGCACTCTGGCTCCAGAGCTCTCGCAATGAAAGGCAGTGACAGGAGGGAGTTCTGGAATGTAGAGGAGAACAAGGCCAGACGCTGGAGTTGTCTAGAAGACGTCTTGGGAGAGGGGAGTGGAAGTGAAGGTGCTAAGAGGCAGCTAGGTGGTATGCTTGCCTGGGATGAAGCATGGGCAGAGGCGCATTGCAGTGCAGAAGGCTCCGCTGACAGGAAGCCCCAGGCACTTCAAGGGGCCCAGGTTCCTGCTTCTCTAGATGAGAAGCTTGTCTTTGAGGGTACTAGTTTATTCAAGTGACTGCAGTAGAACAGCCTGGTGTTTTGGGGTTATAGCATCTTCTAGCAAAGAACTCAACACTGCCCCTCCTCACCTGCAGCATGCCCACCCAGTCTCCTTTCTGGTGGACCCCAGAGAGCCCCCTGTATGGAGACAGCCTTACCGCAGAATGAGGCTCCTGCCTCTGTATGCATGAGTCCCCTGTGACCCCCTGTTGCCCCCTATCCCCTCGCGTGCCAAGGTCCCGCAGACAGAATCCTGAATGGCTTAGTCTTGAAATCCCCGTGCTTTCCACCCTCAGTTGGAGGATGAGGTACCAGGACATTGAAGGATGGATGTGGCTCCCAGGCTGCTGAGTTGAGCCTTCACTCTCCAGGTGGAGCTGCTGTTTTAGAGCCCAGAACACAAGCTATTTCAGGATGGATGGATCTCTTTTTCAAAGATCTCTTTGCCCGGTAGAGACTGTCCATCCGTGAGCAATGGGAGAGAATCCAGTGTCACTTGACAGTAAAAGCTTGTGAGCCAGAACTGAAGACGCACTGTCATCCCTGAGACAATGGACTCCTAAGCCAGAGACCAGACCTGCTTTGTCTCGGTCCTCAGGGCTGACACAGAGCCGGCATCGATACACAGTGCCTGAACTGAAGTCGAGGGCACCATTGACTAGCCTTGCTCCTTTCCTAAAAAATTTACCACCTCAGAAACCCTGTATAGGGTGACCATGAATCAGCATGGACATGATGGCTTGGTGTTGGTTTGGTTTTCTCCTGAGATCCAAGGACCAGATCATGGCCATTTCTCTCCAGTGACGGCATAGGCCGTAAGGACGCAGAGCTCTCTTTAGCCCACACAAGAACTCGTCCACTCAGCTGGGCAGCTGGCGCTGAGAAGCAGCCTCCGCAGTTGGGCCCGTGGGAAGCCGTGGATGAGGGGTCAGGAAAGGCAGTCAGAGAGCTCGGCGTTTTTCATGTCAGTCCCTTGTGGGGTTGGCTGAGCCGGCTGCCATCGGAGTCTGCGCCAACTCACGGTGACCCCATGTGTGTCAGAGTAGAAATGTGCTCCACAGTTCAGTGGAAGATCGCTTGGCCTTTCTTCTGAGACACCTGGGGGTGGTTTAAAATTCCCAGCCTTTCTGGTTAGCAGCCAAGCACATCAACCATCTGGGCCCCCTAGAGGGTCCCCCACTTAGTGAGCTGGGCAGCTGCTTTTACCTGAATCAGATCCTGCCTGAGCAACTAGACACGGAATTCTGTATGGTGGGGGAGGGTAGTTTTTCCTCTGGGGCTTGCCCCTTCAAATTCTGAGTGACCCTCCTCTCTTTCTGTTCCCAGGGTCACACCTCGACACCCAACCCCTGAACTCCACACACTCTGCCATGCACACCGGAGGAGAGCTGGACCGGAGGGCGACAGACACGGTGCACACGTTCCTCTAGGCTCCCGGCATGATCTCTGTAAGAGACTTCCTTTAGTCTCCTATTCGCATGAACGACCGACTGTAGACGCATGACCTACAGTCCTCAATCCTGCCTCTAGTGACGATCTCAGTCGGAATCAGGATAAACACAGCAAGCAGGGGAGAGAGAGAGAGAAAAAAAAACATGAGCGGAAAGAAAAAGAAACACGTGCAAGAGCGAACAAGATCGCAAGAGTGAGACAAGGGCTCTTTGTGGCTGGGGATGGTATTTCTTTTTCAATCCTTTTCATTTTGACCTCGGACAGGGTAGTTTTCTTCCAACGCCATCTGTCAGAAATCCATGTGGGCTTCCTGTAAAGAAGGGAGGGGGAAAAGAAACAAACCCAGGACACTAGACATGAAATCAGTTTAGCCCCCAAATCCCACGTCCCCATCTGCCAGTCTTTCTCATCTACCCCCACCTCCCCATTCCACGTGTGATTGTCCCTTCCACTCCCCAGTGGGATCACTCCTCCCAGAACGTGCTACATGACATTCAGGACACACATACACATACACACGTTCACCTCTCCCCCAACTCAGTATACACACAGATTTTACTGTGATGTCTGAAGCTGTATAGACTCTGCTGTGGATAAACTGGACTTTTTTTATGTTGTCTCTCTCTCTCTCTCTCTCTCTCTCTCTCCCTCTTTCTCTCTCTCTCTGCCAGTTTCAGTATTAATCATCTTCCAATGGAAAATCATTACCTTTAGAGTGCATTCGGGGTTCCTTGTGTTAGGGACTTAAGAATCTGAGGTGAGGACCCCCAGGCTTAGCTATAGGGCTCAACCGGAGCCAGCACCCCACCTGAAAGGGTCTTCTCTCTCAGTTGGGAGAGGGCCGGTGGCTGTCCCAGGATTGCACCAGCATGTTCAATAGAGAAGAGGTTTTCTATATCTTCAAGCCCTTAGCTCATAGTCTGTGTTCAAAGTGTAAACTGTACAGTAATCAGCCTTGTGTATATGAAAAACAATAAATACTATGCAAACCAATAGAAACACTTTAGCAGTATGTACAAAGCACTAACAGCTCAGCTCCGGAGGACTTCTCCAAGGCTGCGGGAGAAGGAGCTATACAGCCTGTCCTTTTCAGTGAAAGAGGAAGGAAGGAGGGGTAGGGCTAGTGAACGGATCTGCCAGTGCGGACACGTCGGTGACAATCCCGAGGTCTCCCGGAGTGAACTTGGTGCTCTAACTCCAGGTGGCCGCGGGATGGCGTGGGGGTGCGGGCGGTGAGTGTGGACCCTGGGCTCTCAGCTGGACAGCCTCAGCGTCCCCACCGAGACTGACCAAGCTCCTCTGGCCCCCACCTGGAGCGGCGGAGCGAGGGGACCACGCCTGACCGCAGGCCCGGGGACAGGAGAGCTGCTGGAGGAGCAAGCAAGCTGCACGACCAAGAGGCCCCGGGAGGAAGGAACTCGCCTTGGTGCCAACGGGGAAGAGCCTTAACGTTCCACTGGCGCCCGCCTCCCAGGCCGAGGGCGGCCCGAATCAGCACAACGCGCCCGGCCCCCCGGGGCGGGCGCCCCCTCGGGCCAGGAGAGGGACTGGCAGGCTCTTCCCGGAGAGCCACTGCGGACGCACGTCCCGTCGCCTTCCTCCCCCGCCGCTCGCCGGGGGTGTCCCCGGGAGACGCCGAAACCTTCCAAGTAGCACAGAGCTCCCTCCGTGTCCGAGGCCCCAAGGCCCCGGTGCCGGTGACCTGCCCCAAAGATCTCCCCGGGGAACGGGTACCGCTGACCCGCCCGCTCGCCGGGGGAATCCCCTCCGTGCCCTCCCCGGGCCGAGTCGGGGTGCCACCAGGGGCCCGGGCGCCGCCGGCCTGCTCGGGCCGCCGGGATCCGCGCCCTGAGCCCGCCGGGATCCGGCCCCGACCAGTGTGTTGGCGGCGGTTTTGCTTTCGCTTTCCTAGCGGAGTGGGAGGGCGGAGAGAGCAGGTTCGAACGCGCGGCCGCCCTCCGCTCTTCCCGACGTTCGTGGAAACCAGCCTCCGGGCCCGGCCCCCGGGACTGCGCTCGCCCGGAGCCTGCTTTCCCAGCACAGCACAGCAGCCCGGCAGGGCTCGGCTGCAGCGCGGCGCCAGCGGGGAGAGGCGCCTGCTGCTCCCCAAAGCACCCCGCCCTCCCGGTGCCGCTCGATCCGGGCCGCAGCGGAGAGGGCGGTTGCCGCGCGGAGCAGGGCGGAAGGGAGTTGGGTGAAGGCCCAGGGAAGCCAGGCGCAGGGCTCGCCCCTCTCGCCTCGATTCTGCACCTCCCTCTCCTAGGTCGCCGCTGCAGCCGAACCCAGTAGCCCCTCTTAGAGCCCCGCGTGGGTCCCGCGGCTCCGGCTCCGCTTTGGCACCTTCTGCTCTGTCTGGCATGGCTGCTTGGCCCGCCAGCCCCAGGCCCTCGGCGGCATGGCTGCACGCCCCAGTTGCTAGTAGGAGCTGTTAGGGGAGGAGTTTGGGGTCTCCACCTGATGCCTAGAGAATGCTGCAGTCTGCACATTAGATGCTTTTTAGAAGTTTTGAAATTACCTTGATTTTTTTAATTGTTATGAAAAGGAATCTTTTCTTGACTCTCTCCCACATGCTCTGTTCTCGGGAGAGAATGCCCCATCCCACCCCCCCACTCTGATGTATAGACCATTTATTCTCCCTACACCAGCTGAACAAATGTCAAAATTAATAAAGAAATGGACTCATGGCACAGGACTCCATCTCTCCTTCCTGACTCTTTTTTTGGGTGGGTAGGTGGGTGGATGGGTGGATGGGAGGGGCCAGATTTGAGGTGCTGGGGCAGGGGAAAGGGAGTCAGGTGGTGGAGTCAGCCCACTATGAGACCTACAGCCCAGAGAGGTTCCCATCCATACTGGCCTCCTTCAGGGGGACCTGGTAGTCCCCCCAGTAAGACCCCCCCCCACTCTTACTTAGAGGTGCTGAGAAGGTTTCTGTCCCACCTCTAGGTGGGGATAGGGGACCCCACAAGGAGCCCTGGCTGCTAACAGAAAGATCTATCTACAGTTTGAGCCCAACCAGCTGCTCTGTTGGAGAATAGCCACACAGCCTGGCGCCGTAAGATGTACAGGCTGGGACACCCTCAGGATTGTTCTGGAAGGTAGCTAGGAGCCAGGATCAGCTAGCAGGCAGTGGGTTTTGTTATTTTGTTCTGCGTTGGCTAGGGGCACCACCTCAAACTCACTGCCCTGGAGTTGATTCAGATGCATCACACCCACACACCACCAGTATAAGTGGTTAGGCTCACAGCCCGAAGACACTGAGCCCCCAGGGGACCCTGATTGCTCCCATAAAGTCTGGTTACTGAACTCCATGCCAATCACAAATTCAAGAAGTCACCCACTGTGGAGAGAAAAAGAAGTCCCTGGGTGGTGTGAAGGGTGAAGTGTTGAAAGGTTAGCAGTTCCAGCCTCCCCTGAGGCCCTCAGAAGTTAGACAGTGGGGATCTGCTTCCAAGCAAACAAACTGCCACAGTCTCTTATGACTCCGGGTGGCCTACAGGACATGGTAGAACTGCCCCATGAGTTTCCGAAGCTGTAACTCTTTGCGGGAGTCGGAAGCCCTGTCTTTCTCCTGCTTCCAAAAGATAGTCTTGAAAACCCAGAGGAGTCATTAGCTCTGCTGGCACACATGGGTGGGGTCACCAGGAGTCAGAATTCTCACCATAAAACCCCGCCCCCACCAGACCAAACTCACTGTCATGGAGTCGAGGCTGACTCTTGTGACCCTATAGTACAGGGTAGAAAGGTCCCTGGGAGTTTCCGACACTGTAACTGTTTACGGGAGTCCAAAGCCCGTTTGGTCGCAGTCAACTCAGCAGCAGCCAACAATAACACCGAAAGAAGAGGGTCCACTTCTGTTCATAATGAGCAGTGACACTTTGTGGATAGCCAGCCACCATCTGTCAAATGGTGGGATGGGGTCAACAGTTGCTTCAAGCTTCTTCCAGTTGGGTTGTAATTCATTTGGCACAGCTCTCCTTCCGATCTTAGGAGGTGACCAAAGTCTCCGTCACAAGCTCCCACAAACCTCTGTAATCCCTGCCCCTCTCCAAGTTTCTCTCAGAACCTGAAAAGCCTCCTCAGGCCCACAGGCCAACGGTGGTGACGGGAGTTACATCGGTCTCATCCAGAGGGCTGTGGTTCTATGGCAGGGTCGCAGGCAGCATGGCCTGGAGGTCTGGGGTGAGGACTGAGGAATGGGAAGTCAACATCCCAAAGGGTTGTCGTGTGCAACCCGGTAGCCAAGCCAACTCAGACACCTAAGAATGTTTGTTTTTGATTTTTTTGTTTTTTTTTTTGTTTTTTTTTGCTGTTGTTCTTTTTAATCCCAGCTCCTAGGAAAACAATTCCCACAGCATTTGCCTGGTCTACCTTGTTAGATTCCTTGAATTAACTGAAGTCATTTAGAACACACACACACACACACAACCTGTCAACACAAGCACTTAGCAGCATTGAGAGTCAGGCTGTGGTCAGGCTGTGTGAGAGGGGGACCCTCCCTGAGTCCCTGATCCTCTCCCCTCCACCACCCACTGGACACCAGGAAGAAGCCCAGTGGGAAAGGGCAAGGCTTGTCTCCCACCTGCTTAGTCCTGCCAATTAGTGAGGGAGCCGTGCCTGGCAGAGCTCATAGCCTGGTCAGGAAGGACTCGGGAGCTGCTGAGGAAGAGAAACAAAGGCCCAACTGTCTAGCAAAATGATTTTTCCTGTCATTTTGTGTATTCAGACCAGCGGCATGCTGGTTTCCATTCTAACTCCATGAGTACAGAGATAATCCCATTCCCTAGAAAATGGGCTCCGACTCCTCTATCTCTCAGTCCCCCATTTATAAAACAGAATATCACCCCCAGGCAGCTGCTTGCATGTTATAAAACTTCATTAGAAAGAAAAAGGTATGGGTGTGTTGTGATTTGTCCCGTCCAAGCCATCCAATATTGACTGAGCACCCACTAAATGTCCCACACTGGAAGCCTCTGGACCCAGCATTGAAGATTCAAACCCAGGTGCTTGCCTGGAAAAACCGGGCCAGTTGCTCCAGTGGAAGCACAAATAATTCCGCTGAAGAGCCAAGGAGGAGGAGGAGGAGGAGGAAAAGGAGGAGGAGGAGGTGGGGACGCCAGCTACTCTGACACAGGGTGTCCAGGAAGGCCTCCCAGAGGCTGAAGTAGAAACCCAAGCACTAACTCTGTCCCTTCGGTTCAGCCTCTGTGGACAAAAAGGTGCCTATACCTCACTCTCTCGGAGCTTCCCCTCCTTCCCCCTGCCCCCCAACTGTCCCCTCGACCACGGCAGTCCCCCACCGCCCAGCCCCAGGCTCTCAGGCAGGCCCCCAGAAAACAGGCACCGTCCTCCTTCCTCACTTACCCCATCTCGGTCCACAAAGGAGGGAAACCTTCTAGCCTAGGTCTCAGACCCCAGGCTTCCTGCAAGGCAGCAGTACACAAAGGGCCCCCAACAAGCTGGAAGGATGAGGTCTTCGGAGGGGCCTCCTGTCCCACAGAGAGCAGCTGCAGGACCTCTGACTGCCAACCGCCCGGGCCAGGACCTCACTTTACCTACATGATGTTCTTGGGGGAACCTGGAGTGAGCCGACGGGCCCTCTGACGATAAACAGCTTCCTGAACTA